GAATATAAGGTCGACGGCGATGCTGGATTTGCTCTCCGGCGAGTCGTCGGGATCTGGGAACTTAAGATTGCATCGCAAGAATGTAAGTTGGGCTTCAAAGATAATATTTTTATTGTTTGATTTGTGATTCTTTGCATTTTTAGGGGTTTTGTGGAGCTTCTTAGATCCGTGGGAGCTTATTCTGCGTCAACCCGAGATGAATTATTATTGCTGGTTGTGCAAAATTGTGCTTTTTTTATGCCAAAGAAAAAAAAAATCCTTGTTTTGCAACATGGGAAGGTTTTGTTGACTTGTTCTTGATCGTTAAATTTTAAAAGCTGGCGATTTTGATTGGTGTTTTCGGTTACTTGGAGATCAAAATCTAACTTCAGAAAAAAAAATAGAGTGTAGTTTTTGGATGTAATTAGAGATTTGCATCAATTTTAAAATCATGAAATTCTCAAATACAAAAAAGATTTTTTTCCTATTAAATAAGGTTGTGATTTTTGGCTGAAGCGTTTCGAGAGTTTCTGCTTTTTGATGTTCTGCCCTTGGGCATATTTTGAGATTTATATTACTTTTGATGCCATATGTTGGATCTTGATAAGAAATAATTAATTTCATCTCTCTTAACTATATTTTACATTTATTTTTTGAATTTTTCTTTGGCATGTTGACAAGCTTTCTATAAGATCAATATCTGGTTTCTATCTTGATTTGTCTCTAAAGGACAACAAATTATAAGATTTACATATAAACCGCTGAATCCTCCCCTCCAAAATCTTCTAAAATTGTTGGGTAGCAGAAGGCTCTGATAATTTGAATGGTTGGACTATTTCAGCCCCAATTAGAAAAGTTTGGGGACTAATTTGACATTCTTATGGACTTTGGGACTAAAATGACTCCTTCCGAATTGTCCGGGACCATTTTAGGGCTTTTTCCTTTTGAAGAGCTCTGCTTATCTCGTGTCTCATGCGAAGGATTGAAAATCTTATGAGAAGTTTCATTTTCCTTTTTAGAAGCATTTCATGCATAACATCCAATTCCTATGTATTTGCACATCTAATACCTAAACTTTATCTTGTACATTTATACCACCCATATCTTTCATATCACATCGGAAAATATCACCATTTTAACCTCTAACATAGATCAGATGATATGTATGTAAAAATTGAAGTTTATACGTAAAAAACTTGAACCATTGAAATGGATTGCAGACCCATGGAGTTCTGAATGCAGTGAGTTGGGGCATTTTGATGCCGATCGGAGCCATCATCGCGAGGTACATGAGAGTGTTCAAGTCCGCAGATCCAGCATGGTTCTACCTCCACGTCGCTTGCCAGTGCTCCGCTTACATCGTCGGAGTTGCCGGATGGGGAACCGGCCTCAAACTCGGCAGCGACTCGAAAGGGATAACATACCATTCTCACCGTGATATCGGGATCGCTCTCTTCTGCCTCGCTACACTTCAGGTATTCCTTTCTCTACATCTCTGGGGGCGGAACCGGGTTATGTCTAGGATGAGCCTATCCAAGCCATCATCGCTAGTTCCGCCCCTGCCTATAAAAATTGCATTTTTTAATGTGATCTTTGAAGCAAAACTTATTCTTTTCATGATAGTACTTCTTACATAATACTTCTTATTATGAGAACATAGATGAATTCTGATAAAACTGATCTAAAAAATGTAGGTTTTTGCATTGCTTTTAAGACCCAAAAAGGATCACAAATACCGCTTGTATTGGAACATTTATCACCATGTCATTGGCTACACTGTCATAATTCTCAGTGTGCTCAACATATTCAAGGGATTTGATATTCTAGACCCTGAGAAAAAATGGAAGCATGCTTATATCGGCATCATCGTGGCTCTGGGAGCCATCGCCGCCGTTCTCGAGGTCGTTACTTGGGGTGTCGTGCTGAAGAGGAAGAGGTCGGGCGGCTCCGATAAATCGCATCGCGGCGGCGGCAATGGTGTTATTGGTCTCAATGGCACTAATGGTTATGGTGGAAGAGAGCAGCCAAGAGTTTAGAGCAATGTGAGGTTCTTTTGTCAGAAATTTCAATCTTTAGGAGCTTGGAGGCATAGCGATGATGTTTGGTAGATTTGTAATTTTTTTATAGGCTTTGGTTATAATACTGCTAATATATATACATCTTCTATGATGTCTAATCAATGATATGAGGGGTTTTTATTATGGCATATGTTGGCTTCCTTTGCATGTAAAATTAGCCAATTGCCCTTGTGCTGTAATTAATATTTTATTTTATATAGTGAGCATTAATTTAGTTATTGTTGTGGGCTCCTTATTTAGATTCAATTGTTCAAAAATGTAAGAAAATAAGATGTCAATTATTATTATTATTTTTTCGAAATAAAATATAAAAAGGGCTTATTTACATAAATACCAACCATTTATATATATGTTATTTTACCTATGCATGAAATGGTGTATTTTATTTTTTTAAAAATTAAAATAGTGAGAAATATGAAAGATTTGGGTGATATAAATGTAAAAAAATAAAGTTTAGGCTCAAATATGTAAATATTTAGGAATTAATATCATTTAATTTCAACATTGTTGTTAAAAAAAAAAAACCAAGATAAGGGTTTATGTTGTAATTTAAATTTTAAGCGTGGATTAGCTATGTACCTCTTCGAGATTTATTTTATTTTTCTATATATATATATCTATATTTTAAGTTGAAAAATTAAATTAAATCATTTTTAAAAATGATTAAATAAAATATTAAATATTTTATGTATTTTAAAAATATAACTTTCATGGCAGCTGTAGTAGCCCTCACTATTGATGGAGCCACCATCCGCTTTTAGCCACTATAGATGCCCGTTAACAGCCATTACCGCCGTCGCATAAATGTAATGAACAATAATTATATTTAAAATGTAAAATATGTCAATTTTATGCCAGAATATAAATAAATAAAATAATTCCAGCATTGGCGACTTGAAATTAAACACTTGATGGTTCAAAATTTTGAAACGTGATTGAAATGTCAAATAATCTGTCGATCGTCCCCTTCAGTCGATCGTTCGTCTTTGGACTGCAACGTCACTATATAGTCGGTATTGATGTCGTAGATTGACCGTTTATGCTATGAATTGGCCGTCATATCTTAGGCCGATCTGATCCCTTGGCCCACTCTTGGATGACCATCTTGCCCGAGGATTGATCAATCGTCTGATCCTCCATTCGTCGTCCCTTCACTTGACTGCTGGATTGCCTTGAGTGGTTCCTCCATTTGTCATTCCTTCACTTGAATGTTGGATTGCCTTGAGATTCATGCTGACTTATTTTTCGTATATATTAATGAACAAGATATGATAAAAATTATCAAAAAAAGGTCATCAAATGAAATGTTTTGTGACTCTAGCCAAAATAACTCAAATGCCACTTTTAATATTTTAAGTAGTCTCTTATTTTTCATGTGAGGGCAGTTTAGAATAGTAATTGCAACGAAATTTGGAGCATAGTTTGACAACTAACGTAGACAGTAACTATTAGCAATTATCAATCGTCAAGGTGCCTTACTCGGCCACCATTTCCAGTTCATCGTAGTCTAACTACCATCATTTCAACCTAGGTCGTCTCTCAATTACCGTCTTTTGTCCATTGTGGTATGACTGCCACCATCCAATTATCATTACTTGACAGTCTCCCCATGATTGTTGTCTCTCGACCATCTTCTTTCAATTGCTGCCACTCAACTTCCAACGCTATATCAGCGTAGCTCGACCATTTTCACCCTACTGCCATCACTTGATCGTAATTATCACCTTCCATTACTTTTACCATAATTTCCAGTCACTCAAGTCTAAGCCGTCATTTGAGAATCAAGTGGAGCCCCATCGCAGTGTAGTGAAAGCCGATGAAACGCATCGCACCTGTTTGGTGTAGTGTCGTCTCCGGTATTTGCGATGACCAATTGAATTTAACTTAATGGTAGATTTATCTCATCTATTTATAACATTTGATAGATTAGAAGTATCCTACCAAATACAGCCTAAATAATATTTTTAAAATTAATTATCTATTACGTCGCACTAATTATCTATTTCTCAGAGACAAATGAACTGAAGAATTCATGATAGCCTCAATTGACTGAAGAAAATGAACCGTTATTACAGTTAATGTTTGAAATAGGGGGGGTTACTTATTCATAGCAACATAATACATGAAATTATTGGTAATCAATCCCTTAATATTTTAATTAATGTTTATAATAAGTCCTTAATCACTCCATTTAATGATTATTACGTATTAACAATAACTCAAGTATTAAGATAATTGGGTCGTGTGAGTTGCCTTTGATGGCCTTCCACTAATTTTCTTTGGATATCAAGCAATGAATTGATGTGGTTCTTAAGCTATTATAATTTAGCCATCATTATCATCTAGAAGATTCAGTCTTTTAGTGCGTTGCAAGGTGGAATCATACATCACTTATTACATCATGTGATGTGTTGATGGCCATATAGAGGATTATTATTTGACAATAATTACATAAATACCCACTCAAATTTTGCTATTTATAAAACTAGCACAATTTATCAAATCGATGTGATTACTCGTGCCGCAATCAAGCTATTCGGGATTTAATAAATAAAAATGAAAAATATGGGATGAGGTTTTATCGGAAATTTTGACAATTAAACGTGAAATTGAAAAATAGATCGAAAAAAGGGTGTTAGAATTGTAAATAATAATTATTTAGTATTATGCTTGTAATTGTCCCTAATATGACATGCATTGATTGTTGTACTCATAAACATCAAGATAAGTTTTGACACTCTAATCTTCGTAGAACTTGATCACGAGATTACCAAATATATAATATACTTTTATGAGAGGTGCATTTCGCTTGAGAGAGATATTTTAGACCTATACCAATCGTGGAAAGAAAGTTACGTCCGCTAAATCGGATATGTGATCGACGGCGTCGTTCGCACCGCGCTGTTGGATACACGCCGCGGTCCACACCAACCGTCTCCCGCA